CAGTTGAAAGCACAGGAGAAAAGATCAAAATGATGGCAGGTTTCCACTTAAACAGAGTAAAAGAGATGTCGTAACTATCAAATTGTCAAGCCTTGAATGTTATTTCTCAGAGTGCATCCACACTCCCCCTTTTGCCACGCTTTCTTCCCATCCTGGAGCTTACTGTCAGCACAGTGTGCTGTTACTGTACATCTGAAACAGGGCCAGGCTGTGCTACTCTTTGTACAGCTTCCCTGTATGATGCTGTGAAGGCAGCGATTGGTGGTTTCCCTGACTGAAATTCTAACATCACTAACTGCAGGAAAAGCTGCCACCAATCACTGAACATAATGCATTCCAGGATAGTGCTTGCATGCTCTGTCCATTTCCCCCCGCTTCTTTCATCCTCCCCCCCCCCAAGGACCGTTGACCTTTTGATTTGACAACCATTAGATGGGAGCAAAGAGTTTGTTTCTCTTAATTGCAACATACTGCTTAGCCAGATTTGTACTGTCCTGATGCAGCCTCTCATTACATGTTCTTGGATTTTGACGTGTGTGATATATGTGCTAAGCTATAAAATACTCTTGGATACAATCACATAATTATTCCAAAATGACTGCAAATCTGTCAACCAGTTAACCTACTGACAAGCAGGTAGCAGCAAAGAGTTAGAGGTTTCTATCTTTTGGCTGACAGCCATCTACTGGTTGTCCAGATTTGCACAGCAAAGATACAGCCATTGGATAAGTGTTGCTGAAAAGCTGAAGTGTATAGCAAAAATTATTCAGTTCAGTATACATGTAATAACATTTATCACTCATTCCACATACAATATATGTACACTATCCCAAGTCTGTTCATGCCAGATACATAATTCCTACATTTCCCAGCCAACATGGCCAAGCTGTAGTTTAACGAAGACCAAACTATGACAGAAGTCTGTCTGCCTATCAATCAATCAGTCAGTCAATCAATCCATCAATTCCTATAATCCACAAAAGGCTAGGATTAGAGTTCAGTATCAATCAAAATAGAAAAAAAGTTATATTTTTCTTAACAAGCACAATTGGCTTATTCCATCATCATGAATGGTGTCCATGTATTCGGAAGATATCCATATCTCAGCATCCATGTATTCCTAAACTTGGGGGATTAAACTTGGATTCCAATATATGATAGTCACAGAAGTGAGGATATTAATGAGACAGAATTGTCATAAACTTTAATGACTCATGTTCAGTGTTCAGATTGTAACTCTGGAAAACTGTATAACTCAATTGATTTTCAGGGTTAGTTCACACTGCACTTGATGGCCATAGCTCTGGGATTTATCACTTAATAGTTTTCAGCTGCATATATGAGCTGCCACCACCAATATCCATAATATTGCATGTTTGGCCTCTGTATGGATAGTTTCTATCTGCAACCACTTTAGTGGTTCTTATACAGAGAGAAAAATATATCTTAGATTCTCAGAATACTTTGTTTCATGATAACAAGTGTGTGTGATTAAGTGTCATCAAGTCAGCATCAGCACTTACTGATCATGTAAGATGGACTTTCTTTAAAATGATCTGTCCCCAACCTGGCTCTTTAGGTCTTGTGATGGTGCATTCATTGCTTTTGTAATCGAGTCCATCCACTTTGCTGCTGGTCATCCTCTTCTCTGTCCTTCCACTTTTCCCAGCATTATGAAATTCTCAAGGGAGCTCGAGTCTTTGGATAGGGAGTCCAAAATATGATAATTTGAGCCTGGTCATTTGTGCCTTGAGAACTCTGGAGTGATCTGTTCTATGATCTGTTTGTTTTCTTAGCTATCCAAGGTCAAAATTGTCAAGAACCTTTCTATCCTGCTTCTTCAAAGTCCAACTTTCACATCCATAGTGTGTCACAAGGAAAACCATTGTTTTCATGATTCTAATCTTTAACAAATGTTGAATCCATTGTTATAACCATAATTGCCTAAACTGATTTAAATGTTCTACATGAATTATTGGGATATTTTAGGTCTGGAATGACATGATAGAACGGCAGTAATTATGCCAATAATAATAACAATAACAAGAATAGTAATAATAATAATAATAATAATAATAATAATAATAATAATAATAATAATAAATTAAACTTGTATGCCACCCAGCTTTCAATGACTCTAGGTAACTCACAACACTCAGATTATATCCCTTTTTTGTGTATTAACGGAAAACAGTAAATATTCAAGCCACCCTCATAATTCATGTTCTGATGTTGGTTTTTTAGTAAACCATAGGTCTGCGATATTTCTTCACTGAGCATAGCAGTGAAGAGTGATTGTTAAAAATGGAAGTGGAATGGGGGAATCCTTACAAATCTGACTCTATTCACCTAATGATGCACTATAATTCCACATAGTCTTGCCAACTTGCCCTTCAGATGTATTGGAATTGAACTCAAAGTCCTGGTTTGGGGATTATTGGATTTGAAGTCTAATACATCTGATGAAGACTAGTTTATTGTTATAATTCAATTAATTATTGTTATAATTATTTTATATTTTATTTGATCTTATTGCAGTTACAAAGATTAAATACTCTTATTTTCAATGCTGCTGACAAAGTATTGGATATTTCAATAAACTGATTTCTTAAAATTTATTAGGATTTGTGTAGACTAATATTTTTAGCATTTTATATATCATCTAAACTTGGAAAATTGTACCTTATTACAAAACCAATAACAGCTATTTAAAGAGTATTATTCAAACTAATGTGTAGGTTGTATTATATATTACTATAAATAGTAAATAGCAAATATTATATTGTAGAGATACATCTTAAATTTTAAAAAATAATTTAGAGCATGTACATTGACGATATTTTTATTATAATGTGGTTTAAAATAGTAATTTGTTCTACTAGAAAATAGCTATCTGGCCATTTCACATTTTCAAACTTCTTACATATACATACTGGCAATGAAAAAATATATCCAATTTTTAAGTAATTCATTGAAAGTTTGGAAAAGAAATCATATGATTTACTGCTTAAGCTACAGCTCTTTTTAAACAGGAAGCAAAAGGATATGCTGAACAGTTAGAGTGAACAAATAAAAGGTTTTGGGCACACATCCAGTTTTAAATCAGAGACCAAACAAGGGGAATTTTGAAGAGGGAAGAAAGAATGTGTAGGTCAATGTGGAAAATATGTCCTAAGTCATGAGAAAATATTTTTCCAGCTAAAATGAAACCATTTTTCATATAAAATGATAATTAAGGGGAAATTTATAAGAATTAAGTATGCTTTAAACTTAAAGATTTTTTTTAAAAAGGATTGCCCTTTTCTCCCTTTGGAAAAGCAATGACTAGGATAATTAAAACATTATTTCAGTATTTTTAAATCCTTCTACTGAAAAGTACTAGGATAATGTTTTAACATTTATTGCTCAATATTTGCACATAGTTCAAAACCAAACACATATATTCAAACAGGAGTTCCACACATTCAGAAAATGAACCATTTTATAAATGAACCATTTTGCTAAATAATTGTAAAAAATGCAGTAAAAAAGACTTTCTCCACAGAAGGAAATGATATATCTGTTAATATTTTGTTGAATAAATAATAGTAAAGTAAATTTTTCATAGTTTTTTTTTTGTTTAATGTTACCTTCATCTATATATACTGTTTGAATGGAGATAAAATATTGATATGTCCACACATGTTAAAAAGGAAAAAAACTTCACTTACTTTTTCACATGACTATAACTGTAAAAAATGCAGTAAGTTGACATGAAGCGCGTGTGCACACATATGTAAAAACAGTATGGCTTGTGAACACATTATGTTTGTTTTTGGATATGTTCCATACTTAGCTGCCATCTGTCCCTTGAAGAGGTAAATTGTCAAATTAACACCCCCTCTTGCAATAAATTCTTGCTTTTCTTTAGTACATTAGTACTGGGATAATGTTTGAATATTTATTGCTCAATATTTGTACACAGTCCAAAAACAAATACATATATTCAAAAAGGAGTTCTATACGTTCAGAACTCCATAGCTATTTTTTAAGGCAGTGATTAATACAGCTGTAACTTCTTTGCCAATAAATGAGGTGACACAGAATGTGTTCCTAAACCATATGAGCACAATGGGTTTTTCTCCATTTATTCTCATCAAGAGTTCAAATACTTTTAACTGCAGTAACTGGAGAATGTCTCATTCTGGAATAGATGCAGCTGTTCCCACAACAGACACAGATCAAGATGCCTGGAAGCCAAGTGCTGGAAAATGAGTCACCTCTCCTACATACGCAAGTCATCCCAAACACTGCCTGAATGGGGAAAGGACTCTTTCTAGATGCAAACCCAGAATGGAGAAGCTTTCCTGTACTTGGAACAGCTCTGGCTAAATACAAGCAAACACAAAAGACTTCTCCAAAATCTAGCTCAGTAGACATCAAGATTTTCCCTGGCACATGGAGTCCAGAAAAGCCATCTGTACGTGTGCCACAATTTCATGTCCTCTGTATTTGACGTGAACGGTGAATGTAGGATTACTTTCATAGGCAGAATTAAGGATCTGGCAGAAACATTTGGTTATCAGTTTTAAAATACACATATTAAAACAATCAGGACTCAGAGAAGTGTACTTTCAAAGCATGAAATTGCAATTCTGAACCCAATCCTATCCATTCATATTATTGCTTTAATGAGACGTTGTTTCATGTAAGAAGCCTTATGATTGCTCCCCCTTTCTCCTTGTTTCAGTGAGTCATGGGGAGGAGAAATGTCTATTTCAGCAAGATCAACTGCAATTAGATTCCCCGTCTTCTCTTGTTGGAGCCCTACCCTTGCATCTCTCAGGCAGCCAATGTTTCTTATCTATATTAAAATCCATCTTATTCATCTCAAAAAGAGAAAGTCACCCAGAGACCCAGACACTCAGGAAGCAAGAGAATAAGCTGACAGATTAAGCAAAACACAAGTAAGCAGCCCAGCGGCTTTCAACGAAAAGAGTTTACAGTATAAACGTCCTTACCTTAAAATTGTGTGCTTTTTCATAGTTGAAATGGTTGTCATTCTGGGTCAGTGCTGCTCTTCTGACCAAGGAGGTGATCTGCGAATAGGCAAAGAGTTTCAGCGGTTGCCACAAGAGTGCCCCCTTCACTCCCATCTTAACCCCCAAGGCCACTGCCAGGAGTTCTTGGCGCTTCCGTCCTTGTTTTGATTTGTGAACCACAGCACAGGCTTTCTCATTGTCAAGCCACAGCTCCTCAGCAAACATAGTGCTTGGATCCCAGATCTTTTCCCTGTCTTCTGCAGAGGCTGGGAGGCGGACTGCTGTCAGGTTGGTCCAACTGCTTCTTATGTTAGACAGCAGATTTGAAGCAGCTGCAGCAGCCCATTCTGCGGAGACCTCTGGCATGTGACTTGAATGGGCTGTCTTGTGTGATGGAAGGAGCTCCTGCATCTGAATAAGTAACAGTCTGCTTTGTGATACTTTTTTAAAACAAAGTGCGCACAGAACAATAGCCTGGATTCATGTACGGAACGACTCCCCCTTCTTGCCCTCCCCACAGCAGTGGGATCCTGCCAGGCGCTGAAGAAATCCCAGCAGCTTTACAGCTTCAGCCACAACACATTTCAAAGGATAGATCACATCTACCCGGGAGCATTTTTTTTTTTCATAAATAACTCTAATGCTGCATCCAATTGTGCTCTGAGCTGGAGACCTCTGAGCTCTTCCAGTACAAACACCATCAGATTAAGCCTTTAAACCACAGTGATTCTTTAATCTTGGGGGTGGGTGGGGGGAACAACTCCTCTTTTTCATATCCTGTACAAGGGAAAATCTGGTAGCGCTTGAAAGATTAGTAGCCATACTTGCCAGTACATTAAATGAAGATTGCTTCTGGCATTCTCTACTTTTGGAATACATAAAATAAATTGCAGTTTTTCTCATTATTTTAAAATAACATTTAAAAGAATATTCAGGCTATTAAGTTGCTTGGGGGGAAGAAAAAAGGAAGAGAAAAAGAGAAGCCCAAAGGGAAAAAGAAAGCGGAATTGAAGTATAAAGATTCATCTTGTGACACAATACAATTTTTATGGTATGGTAGCGATTCCTTCTAGGTTTGGGACTTTCTCTCCAACACTGGCAACACTGGAGAATTGAGAAATAATTCTGTACGAGTGCTGTCTACAACAAAATGTTGCAGTACTGAAACTCGGCTTCAGGTTTCCAACCAGCCAATCCTGTATTTCCTCAGGATTCTCCATTCCATCATGCCAACCTCTCTATGCTTTCTGCTTTTTTCCCACAAAGTCAAACTGAGGATCCATCCATATATGCTCCCACAATGTTGAGGAACTGAACCAATAATTAGTGGGCTGAACTTCTGCTGCAGAGGATATGGTGCAGAGCCAATTTGCTCTGGACTTGGTGGGCAGGGGAACTCCCACTTTTCCTGACTCCTGGCACTTCCCCTCCCCCTCTTGCAGCCAAGGTACCAGGGCTTTCCTCGCTCTTTTTCCTTGCAAAAAGCAAATGTGACAAGCTGGCTGGCTGGCTGCTAGGGTTTTATATGCTCCCATTGGTCAGCTGGAGGGAGTGTTGATTGGCAACACAGGAGGATGGAGCACAGGAGCAAGGACATTTGCCCAGGGTGCAAAACTGTTAATCAGGGTAAGAGACTGGAGGCTATGTGGAAAAGTCTTAAATGTTTTATGACCACAAAATGTGTTCACTCTTCATTTGGCTGTTTCTTCCCACTAACATTTTTTTTGTTCTTGGAGAACTTAGGTCCACCAAAACTGCCGATTCCCATCTCTAAGGTAAGCTTCAGCACCTGGAGAATGGATTGTTATTGGAGCTGATTCTATGGAGGTATGTGCCTTGATGACCAGCATAAAAGTCAAGTAGATAAACAGCATAATGTAAAGGATGGTCATTAATGTGTGTGTGAAATGCAACTCAAGATATTTCTTACAACCATTTGGTTTGGCCAAATGCAACAAATACTGGCTAAAACATTTAGCAACCACTGCTGCCCGCTTTTGATAGCTCTGAGCTATACTAGTACAGAAATTTCTGCACTGGTTATTAGATTTCAGGGTCTAATTCAAGATACTAAATTTCATCTTTAAGGCCCTATTTGGTATAAGTCCTGGCACTTCCCCACAATTTTAAAGCTTATTAAGTCCTATTCCATATTACCACTTTCTGGTTAAATTAAACTCATCATTCCTAATCTTTTCCCAAGAATCTCTCTGCTAAAACTTATCTTCTCCTCTCTCTTCCTTGTAGAAACACGCCAAGACATTCCACTAGAAATTGAGAATATTTATATCAGCATTAAATAATTAATTATAATTTCACTGTCTGGTTGGTTTGGCTAACACCCTTGGTGTTTTAATTATTACCATGTTGATAGGTTTGTCAATTAGATTGAAAGGTAGTTTACAAATAGTATTAATAAGTGAAACTACATAAAAATTGCCATCTGAACAATACAGAAAATACTAAATTTATATTAAATTAAAAATATTAAATATTTAAATATTAGGACAATTTACCCAAAACTTTATTGGCTTATTCTTATTTTTAGAAAGTCACAGAAGAGGATGTTCAGTGTTACTCTATGTAGGTCTATTTGCAGGGTTTTATGGACCCTGGAAGCCTGCTGTTCAATTTATTTCTTCAGCTCAGTCACCATACCCCTGTCTTTCTTGTTTTCTTTGCTTTAAATAATTTCTACAAATTTCGCTGCTGAAATATCCACCACACTCTGCTGCTAAATAAATCCTATTTTCCAGCTGATAAGACAGCTGACTGCTACTATTAGGTAGGCTAGTAGACAGATATGGATCTCCTCAGCGATAATGTTTCGTGCTCTTCTATCCTATCCTCATGCCATTTGTGGACCAGTAGCTAGTAGATACTGCATTCAGAGCAATGCTCCTTAAAAAAAGCTTCTATTATTGCATATATAGTTTAGCCTTTACTCAGACAATAAGGCAGAAATCCTATACCCCTTTGGCTACTAATTGAATTCAGTGAAATTTATTTCTGAACAGACTTGCATAGGATTGCACAGTACATTACACCAGGCAGGGGTGCTTGATATCCACCGGCCTAACCTCTGAGAAATTTTCAACATCTTATTTGTGCAATTTCTTCCTAATGTTAATTAAGAATGAAATTACGTAGCTCTAAGTTACATAACTCAGTTCTTAGTTGTGCTAAATGGATGTGTGAAAAAAGGAAACATTGCTTTAAGTATTTACCCATATATATATATTTGGGTCCACCAAATGTACTACTAATGAATTATATCACAACAATGCTAATAGCTTGCTATAGTCCTGTTTGTTTATGTACTCCTGGGACAGAAGTATTTTGTTGCATTGCTGGAATAATTTAAGTAGGTCAGCAGCACCAAAACAAAGGTCTGAGAGTGAGGTCAATTTTCTAGTAATCCTCTGGTATTTGTATTACTATCACTTAAATTATAAAATCCTATTATATAAGGTATATAATTATGCAATACTGCAGATTCTATGCTCCAAATACAGGATTATACATCAAACATCTTATTAGAATCCTTACTTTAATGAGATAACCTTAAGAGAAAAATCCAGTAGTGAGAGAGAACTGTTGTTTCTTCTAGTTTCATTAAGAATAAACCATGACAAAAAGAGAAAAAGCTCACCTATGTGTCTCTGATATTTGTGACAAACATCATACATCCATTCAGCTAGGTTGTTTTCTTATTGTCTGACATGTCTTTTATTAAAAGTTGACTGGAGCCCAAATCCTAGTGACTTCATGAACACATCCATGTAGTTTGCTTGGCAACAATATTTGTTTGCTTGCTTTAAAACTCACCTTTCCTTCAGGTGCTCAAGGCATGATGTTGCAGGGAACAGAGTATGATTAACCGCTGTTTGTGCAAAACAGAAGGAGAGTGTATGCAGGCTTCACAAAGATTTCAAAGGCAATTGTGTTTAACCCTTTTCATTTATGGAGGTGAGAGAGAGAGCCTCAGATGCCCTGACATCTGTCTTGTGGGATACAAAGGGTGGTTGCTTAGTAACAGGGACAGCTGCTCTGTTAAAGCTTGGTGTACCTCTCTGATTCTCCTCATCTTCTCACTGGATTAGAGTGAAAACAGATCCTGAAACTGTTGCAGCAGAACTAAAGCCTTGACCACACCTTATTATGGCAAATACATGTTTCTGTACATTTGAATATACTATTCATAATTTCAGCCAGATGTATCTGACATGCAACATGATATGCAAGAATAATATAACAACACTCTTCAAACCCAAGGTTTTCAAAGGGCCAGCCCCGTAAAGAAGCAACATGATGCACCTCCATCTCCACAGATACCTCTCCATCTCTCAGCCCTTCAAGGTAGGCAAGGGCAGGAAAGAGAAGTCACTAGGAGTCTTTGACAGTATTTTGATGTGGGTAGGACATGGTAACAACATCTTCTCAGACCTGGCACTATGTCTTCTTGTAACTATAACACTGAGTTTTTACAATTAAGCAATTAGAGAAAGAGGAAAAAGAGGGTTCATTTTATAGGTGGGCGTTTTGCATGTCTGGTAAGCATTCCAAGTTGTTTGAAATGCTTTGGTTGGAAAATTAACAGCAAATCCTATCACTGTGATTGTCTTGAAGAAGTATTCATACATACAGAGCTGTTTGGGTTTTAATATTTGATAATGGGGTATATACAAACACACATATACAAAGATTTTGCATGTGTCATCAGTTTGGAGATGCCTAAAAGGCCACCTGGAAATGGGAAAGCATCCACTTATCATTTTTGTAGTGCAGGATCATATACTGAAATTCTTCTCACATGGCTTGGTATACATATGAAAGATATACATGCTATCTTGCTACAGATGAAATAAATGAAGAACTGTTTTTATGCTACACATAGTTTATAAGGATTAGTCGAGGTGACAACTTGGTGTAAAAAGCTGTTTGTGTCCTTTCTCCAGTGTGAATTATCAGACGGGCTGAGCAAAACTCACTGCTTCCTACCAGAACTGTATGTTCTTTGGCATGCTAAAATGAAATGCTACTCCACTGATATTAGAACTTCTAATAAGGAAATGCAAACAAAGTGCCAAAGTTTAATGTTACCAGCTTTTAGAAAGATACTAATCTTAAAGATCTAATGTGGTTGGTCAACTTTCTAACTTTCTGGTAAACATACCAGAAGAGAGGCAAAACAAAGATCGACTACTATTTTGCCATTCTTTCAATTCTATATTAATCCAATGGTTGAAAATGATCAAAATAGAAGTGTACACCCCCCCCACCCCATTTGTATATCATGGTGTGGTTACATGCAGGTGATGCCTGTTATACACCTATATGGATGAAGTGGGTTTTTTTGTCTTTAGGATCTTTCTGTAAGGAAGAACATTTATGGCTGAATTATCATAAAAATAATACTGTAACTTTTACAAAAATACCCAGAACTTGAATTTGGATTATTAATGGGATAAATTTTGAATAGGCATCTCTTAATTATTTGGGGATTATTTTTCATTCCTTTGGTAATCATAAAGCCAACTTCCTACATCATCACCATCATCTATATTTGCTATGGCCACTTATTCCGGAAGACTCTGGGTGACTTACAACGATGGACTATACAATTAAAACAGTTAAAAACATACTAACAAAACATAGTGGCCTGGACTAAAAAGCAACCATAACAATAAAAAAAAAAAATGATCAGGGCTCTACAAACACACTATCCCCCATCCTGGGAACAAAGATAAGTTCCTATGGGCCTTCCAGAACCCTATGGTATATGGTATATAGAGATATGGGCACCATCCATATCTCTGGGGGGATGCCGTTCCAGAGGGCAGGGGCAGTGACAGAGAAGGCATGCTTCCTT